TAAGATCTTAACCTACCTTAAGCATTCTGTGTCTGCCCTTCTTAATTTTTTTTATTATTTTGGACAGAAGTCTTATGTTAAGCTTAAGATTCTTCACTTTTACTTGGTTGGTCCAGAAAATTAGTTTGGGTTTTCTTGGTAATCATAGAAAATTTCAAACATATGGGGAAGTAGAGTAGATGACCCCTCATGTACCCATCTATCTTCCAGTTTCTTTTTTTTTTTTTAATGTTTATTTATTATTGAGAGACAGAGCATGAGCAGGGGAGGGGCAGAGATAGGGGGAGACACAGAATCCAAAGCAGGCTCCAGGCTCTGAGCTGTCAGCACAGAGCCCAGCTTGGGGCTTGAACTCACAAACCGCGAGATCATGACCTGAGCCAAAGTCGGACACTAAACTGACTGAGCCACCCAGGCGCCCCTCCATCCTCCAGTTTCAACAATGCTCACCTCGTGCACAGTCTTGTTTCCTTGTATTCCCTACTCTCTATCCCCATGCTGAATTATTTTGGAACAGATCCACCTTTAATATTTCAGGATGTATCTCTAAAAGAAGGTAAGAATGCTTTCTTGTTTAATGCAACCACCATACCGTTATCACATCTGAAAAAGAATAATTTCATAATACTATTAAATATCTAATCAGTGTTCAGACTTTTAATATTTTTAAAAATTATATATTTTTTGAATAGTCTATTTGAATCAACATCCACTTGTTGCAATTGGTTGGCGTGCCCTTTAAGTCTCTTAATGTATAGTTTTCCCTCTGTCTCTGGCTCTCTCTCCTTCACGATTTATTTGTTGAAGGATCCAGCTCTTTGTCCCATAGATTTTCCCACAGTCTGGATTTTACTGATTTTGTAGTGTACTGTAATTTAACAGATTTCTTTGTCCTTTGTATTTTCTGCAAATTAGTAGCTGAATCTAGAAGCTTAATCAGATTCAGGTCTACTTTTTTTTTTTTTGGCAAGACTTTGTGTTTTTAAGGTGTTTTTTATTGCCTTTCACGGCGTCTATTTTTAGGGTTACTTGTTAGAAATCTTAACTGCACCAGAGAACCTTGAGCCTGTTCTGTCCCATTTTGTCTTGAACAGCAAAAGGGAATAATGATTTCCTTTGTACCTACAGTCCAGAATTAACGTTCGAGTGGTTTTTTTCCAGCCCAGTGAAACTAGATGTAAGAATTGGTTAGGGGAGTGTGTTTACATGTGCCCGGAGATTTTAACTGTGTGCTCTCCCATTTTTCTCTGGCACATGCGCCTCAGGTGTATGAATAGTACTGTGACCGAGTGTGGAGGGCAGGCAGAGGTGGGTGTGGCCCTCTCCTGGTGCCGGAGCCATGGGGACCACAGAGAGGCTGAGGCAGGTGGGACTCCTGGGACATGGGCAGCAGCTGTTCTCACAACACCCGCATACAACCCCACCCTGGGGTGTCCGTGGCCAGAAGGGTCTTCTCAAGGCCATGTCCAAGAAGCCCTGTTTGGTCACCTGCCCTGCAGGGGCTCTTCTAGTCTCTCAGTTCTCGAGACTTTTCTCCATTTTACTTATTTGACACTCAGCATATGCTCCCTTATGTTGGTGACTTTTGGTTTGCCTTGGTGCCTGTGTAATTGTCACTTCATTGAGGACACGAATCACTTCTTGTCTCCTTATTGGTCTCTCCTTCCCCTGGCATGGTCCCTGTAAGTCTGTCATTTGTTCACAGAACGTTTACTGAGTGTTCATCAAAACTGCACCCAATGCTGGTCCCACGAAGATAGATGATGGTCAAGATAAGATTTATTAATGGTCACTACATGCCAGGCTCTCTTCTAAGCACTTCTCATGAATTACATGTTTGATTGTTGCTTTGAGGGGAGATACTTTATTAGCCCTCTTTTATAGATGAAATAAAGGCAAAGAGAGGTTCACTAACTGGCTTCAAGGTCACACAGGTAGTAGGTGGCAGAGCCAGGGCCTACATCCAGATGGTCTGACAAGAGAGTTTGTGTTCCCCCACCCACCCCCCTGCAAAAGGTGTCCCCTTCCAAGGCTGTCCAAGTCCAGACGGGAATTGTCCACGCAATCTCATCATGTTCATGTGTGATAACCATTGTGAAGGGTGTGAACGTAGTGCTAAACGGGCACTAGAGAGCACCAGACGAGCCGGGGAGCTGCTGAGGGCTCCCTGGATGTAACATGTGAGCAGGATTTTGAAGGGTTGCCACGGATGCTCTCCCAGCTGAAAACCCTTACAGGCTGCTTCCTCTCCTCTGTCACTCTTGAAATCAGCAGGTCGCCAGGTTCTGTCCATCCCAACCAGCTATGTAGCCCATCTCCGTCCCCTCCTCTCCATTCCCACTGTCTGGACATACGTGTTCCTCCCCATTCTGCCCTTCAGACCCACTCTCTACGCTGCTGCCAGGCTGTCTTCTAGAACTCATATCTGAATCTCTTTCCCTGCTCAGAACCATTCCCTGCCGTCGGGGGTGTAGAGGAGTCAATAATACAACACTTTTCAGTTCAGAATAGTTAAAAGATAGGGTGAAAGAAGGATGTAGAGATCAGAATAGCATCTTTATCACTGACGATACACATTTTTCAATCTCAGCTTTAGATGCATGGCAACAAGGGGTTTGTGAACAGTGAATCCTCGAATGAGACACTCTCCCACCCCAGGAAGCAGGCCTCACTGTGTTGTGTAAGTGGCCTTGCACCCAAGGAAGACAGGAAATGTCCAGCTTCCTTATCTCAGATTCGCCAGTTGGTTAAGAGAGAACTCGTTCTCCCTGGGGTGGAAAGGAGCAGGGGTATTATACCAGCAAAACTCTGTCTGTGTAGAAAGAAACATCAAGAAGGAAGAAGGATCCCTACCACACATCCTGCCAGCTGAAATATGTTGCTTGTGTGTTTAGGATGGTCATTATCTGGAGCATTCATCATACCCACCCTCTTGTACTTTCTTCTTGGGCCACCCCAAACTGGATGTAGCCACCTCAACAAATCATCCTTCCAGACTTCTCTTGTCCTCATCCAGGGCATCTTCTTTGCCTGGGCTAAGTGCTTTTCCCTTCTTTTTCTACCTAGTGACTCTTATGCCAAGATCAAACTAAATTCACACCCTCCATGAAGTGCACCCTGATCTGCCAGGTGGCCTGGATAACTCCCCTGGGGGACCAGTCACACTTGGTACATATTTCATTGAGTTCTAACCTCAGTGTAATGTAACTTGCAGTGTTTACATCTGTCTCCCCAGCATTGTACTTCTTGCTCACGAAGACTAAGTTTTTGTTGTCTTTTTGTCCCCACTGATTCTAGTGCGGTCCCTGATGCATAGGACTCACTCGGCAAATGCATGGAGAATAAAGGAATGAGTTCAAGAGGCAGAGACCAGGAGACAGACGTACAGGCAGGCTGAGAGACAGGCATGTATGAAAACATGCAGCTGTGCCCATGCCCAGCTTCTCAGGAAGACGGCAAGCTGTTTGGGGAACGAGAGTGAGGAGAGTGAGGGGGGGAGGGGACATGGGACATCTGCTCAGGAAAGACCCTATGTGTCTGTAGTTGGAGATCCAGAGGCAATAATTCAGTGGGAAGACACCTGTTCGCAGAGAAAGGCTGCATGGATGGGAGAGTCCCGAGGGAGGAGAGGTGCTGTCTGAGGGGGTTGAGGATCCCAGAAAGAAATAACTGAGGCTTACCCAAGGGTGGTGGCGTGGAAGATGCAGAGAGAGGGCTGGATTTGAGAGCTGTTCAAGAGGGTCAGCTCAACAGGACGCCAACCCCTTGTGAGAGTGTGAGTGACTCCACGGTTTCTAGTTTGTGCCACTGGGTGGCAGTGTTGGTGGTAGTAACAGATTGGGGGATATCACAGAAGCCGGTTGAGTGAAAGGAGATGAATTGGGTTAGAGTGCTGGGATTTGAGGGACCCTTAGAACTAATAGCTGAAGGTGTCCCGTATCGTGGGAAATGCCAGTCTGTCCAGTAACACTGGAAAGACTTGGTCAGCAATAGAGGTGAAATAGTTGAGGGCCACTGGTGCACAGGGCATGGTGGGAGCCGCTGGATTCGGGTAGGGGAACACCGCGTAGGCAGGAGAAGCTGGCCGAGGATGGTCTGTGGAGCAGCCACATTTAAGAGGCCAGGCCTGAGAAACAGACTCAGGAGAGCAGGCCTTTGAAGAAGCAGAATCCCCTCGTGAGCATTATCGGTGCCATGGAGGGGGACCTGGCCCAAAAAGAGACCATTGGCCGGGATAATTAGATGTCTCCACTGCCCATATTGATGGCCTTTACTAAACATCAAGGTTGGAGTGAGGTGAACATTATTCAGTAGGAGAGTTAGGTTTGACCATGCCTCCCTTACTCCTCAGAGAAACAAAGCCCCTAATTATTTCCCTTGCTTGGTAAGAGAATATCTCCAGACCTCGAGATTAATGCAGAAGCAGAGATTCCCGCATGCCGGTTAGTTAAGTTTCTCCTCAGCGGTTGTGTGATCAGTCATCGGCAATTTGCATGCTCATTACTCTGACTGGAAGCCAGGGGAGATCTTCCGCCATCATTGCCACCACACATGATGCTGTCGTGTGCTGCCTTGGCTCTCATCCCACATATTTTTCTTCTTTCTCTTTTTTTTTTTTTCCTTCTCTTTCTTTAAACAAAATCTGTACAATTGCTATTTTAAATCCAGGCCCTGACATTTTAAGTGGATGCGTGCCTAGGTTTTCACAGGTGTGCTTGTGAACCCATAAATTACAAGCTTTTGTCTCCTGGGACAAGTGTGACTTGGGCCTCTAAGTACCCAGGTGAAGTGGTAAATTTGGCAACCACAGCGGCCCCTTTGTGTGGCGATTGTGATGATAACCACCTGTCGCTCCTGACCTGCCAGTGTTTGCCTGCCTGCAAGCTGCAAAGCCCATTCTGTCCTCGCAGGGACAGGGCTGGAGAAGGCAGAGCACCGCACTCCTGCCCTCCAGTGGGCAGAATCCGCAATGACGGGCAGCCCTGCGCTCACCGCCCCTTCGTCCTGTGGAGTAGCAGCTGCCTGCCAGCCTCCCCACCTCCATCACACCGCGATGACTGGTCTCGATGACTGGTCTGGGGACGTGGGACCTGCCTCCCACGCTCCACTCCCTCAAACCTAGGACAGTCTGTTTTGCCCTTCGTAAAGGAGCAAACACGTACATAAGCTTACACACTGAAAATGCTCTAGTCTTCCCCACTCTTTCCATGCCGTGAAGATGGTACATTTAATGGTGGTGTATATTAGAAATCTGAGCAAGTACTACAATATGTTAAAGGGTAGAAGTTACTTTCACTTTATAATCTTAATGCATTCATTCATTGCCTAATT